ACTGACTTGAATTGTTATTCAAATTAATTCATCAATTATTTTTAATATTTTATTGTAATGTAGAGACAAGGCTTTTAGTGACAATCATGTATTGCTTTACAATTTATATGTAAAAGAAAAGTCTAAAATATGATATTTGGCCTCAAATCATCTGAGGCCTGGCACCCCCCCTGCAATCTTTGGGGGCGCGCCCCCCAGGTTGGGAACCACTGACCTAAATGATGTAAACCATAACACCTGATAAGTTGTACATTATAGGATTTATAATGTATATCTCTTATCTTTTTACAGGTAGCATTTACAACAAAGATTTATCACCCAAATATAAACAGCAACGGGAGTATCTGTTTGGACATTCTACGGTCCCAGTGGTCTCCAGCACTTACAGTGTCTAAAGGTAACTACGACTCCAACAGCACTGTGCTATCCACTTTATCTAATGTCTTGTGTTTTTTATGTTATCAGTGTTTTATTTTATTTTTGTCTGTAAAAGGAAAAATAATGAACCTATTAAATTGTACTTTTTTTTTTNGTGTGCCTTGGCAGTTTTTTAAAAGCAGTGTTGGTGCTTTCCAGCAGGGCCTATCTATATTACTAAATGAATGTAATAATATCCTGTAATCCAAATTTCAAAAAGCTTTATTGGCAAGACTGAAATGACATACAATATTGCCGTGCACAAATAAGAACAAATACAACATGCATAATACATTTGTAAAATATATTTGCTTTAAGATAGTAATACTTTGTTTATCCCAAGTTGGGAAATCGGTCTCTGCAGAATTTTGAAAGTCAATCAACAAGAATTACAAAATGTCTTCAAAATAGAATTAAATACAAATATAATAAAGGTAAACATTACACATTTTAAAAAACATAATTACATATTCTCAGTAAAAAATATAGATTTTCAAAGGAGTATCTAAACACTATAAAATATACGCAATAAATGTGAATAATTTAGAATATACCAATCTACAAGTAAACATATAAACAGAGTGTACTCTCTCATATATCCTATAAGGTAGTATGCTGCAATATGTATTTACGGTATGTTTAAATAATGAACAAAATCTAAATGAAGGTGTTTACAAGGAAAACAATGAACTTTTTTTAACTTGAATTATCAAAGTTAATTGGTATTCCTTTTCATTGCAGTTTTATTGTCCATATGTTCATTGCTGTGTGATCCGAACCCAGATGACCCCTTAGTTCCAGATATAGCACACATGTACAAGAACGACAAAGACAAGTGAGTGTCAACGAGACGTCCTCTGATATCAATCATGTGACATGTGTTGACCTGTTGTCCAATCATCCACTCTCGTCTTTTCTCTCCTCAGATACAACAAACTAGCAAAAGATTGGACCCAAAAGTACGCCATGTAAAGAAAAAAAGAAGAAAACATGCTGAGAATTTTCCTTTTTCCTTCCTTTTTTTTTTAAAAGTCACAACACACTGTACATTATAGTATGGAATCATTAAGTAATCCTAGGTAACTTCCATCAAACTGAACTGTCATTAACAATATCATTAATCCATGACATGTACATTGATTGTTTTTGAAAGGAAGCAGAAGAGAATGATTCCCTGCGGTCGCTATATGGACGATGATGTTTCCAAGAAGCATGTTGTTCTTGCATCAAGGAATTTTTATTTATAACTCAAGTTATTACAAATTGCATTCTTCATTTTTGAAGTAAGACTAGTAGATTGTAGGATTTAAATCCCAACAGATGCCATTCAGCGAGAAGCCTTTTTTCCCAGAGGAGCCGAGTGATTGAGTACCATACATGCTAGCTGCTCCTGGAGAGGAATAGCCCACGTTCAGTCCCTGCTGCAGCATCAGCTGCAGGAAACCCCCAACCATGGAAATGTGGATGGGTGAATGCCAAATATGTGAGCCCAACATTCTGAGACATGTCATGTAGTGGGTGATCAAGGTTTATTTTTTATTTTTTTTGCATCTTGTAGCAGACGAAGTGGAATGAAACAATGTACTGTTTCCCTGAAAACAGGAGAAATTACAAGTCACGTATTACTAATTGTATAGCATTAAAATCGTCTTGGATATTTCATTTAAATTAGAGTTATCACTATGTAAATCTGTCATTCAAATGATGTCCTCTTTTCCCCTGAGAGTAGAAGTGACGTTGGCTTTTTGGTTGGTTTTACACAGGAACAAAGAAGAGATTTGAATCCACTGACTGACCTGTAATAAAGGGTTACATGTGTTCATCTATATATCCATCTATGCTATAAAAGTGTTGAAAATGTATTTGTTTGTTCCTGTGTAAATAGTCTCACTTGTGTCTTTGAGGCCTGTGTGGCACCTTTTGTACTGAATTAAAGAAAGGTACCGTTTTTATCCCGACTTTATGGTTTGGATCACTGAGCTTAATGTGATGTGTGAAGGTATTATACATTTATTGTTACCATTGCTATGTTTTTATGGTGCATATTCCCAAAAGTACATCTGTATTCCAAATTCAGTGTTGTATCTTCTAGCAAAAAGAAAAGATCATTACTAATAACAGTTTAGATTCTGTGTTAAGTATTTGTTAATGATAACCTGACTAACTTATTTAAACATTAAATCCTTAAATAGATCAGATAACTAATATTTACCTTTGACCAATCTCAATGTATAGAGATGCTATAAGTATTTATAAACATTTAAAGGTATTATAAGTTTTAACATTACAGCCATCCAAATAATGCACAGTTTAATAATCATCAACAAATTGTAAAAAGTATTTGCTCCATTTGTGTTTTCATTTGTTCAAATCAAATCAGGTTTTATTTATATAGCATATTTAAAAAACGATTTTTGGCCGAGCCAAAGTGCTGTACATGCAAATAATAAATAACACATTACTACAGTCACAAACAGAAGACAATAAATTACAACAGCAAATATAAAAATCAAACACAGGGAAACGTCAGGCTACCTGAGTCGGCGGCTAGGAGCAGATCATTAAAAACTCTTAAAAGGGCTGTTTCAGTGCTGTGCATGGGTTTGAAGCCAGACTGAAACTTTTCATGGATTCCATGTGTGGTTAAAAAAGACTGCAGCTGGGAGTAGAGTACTCGCTCCAGGGCTTTAGATAAAAATGGTAGCTGGGAGATGGGCCTAAAATTTGCAAAGGTTTAACATTTAAAAGGTTTATAAATCATTTGATAATCATTCAGAAATATCTAATATAGTATATCAAATGTTTTGTGTGCAACAGTAACCATTATAATAACATCAGTGATATACATTAAACATGATTCATTATATTTCATTCTTCTTAACAGTCAAATATCAGTTAAATAAAGTTGAACTAAACTGCAATTTTGTATGAGAAAGGTTGCTATAATTTTTAGATTGACAATTATTGATATTGTAGTATTACATAAAGATTATTATTACATTGTTTAATGACCTTGCCTATGTACATGTGGCATAGACAATGATTGGATTAAAGGATTATAAATCTTTATGTCATATGCACAGCTTAGTTTTAGCAATGACAGTTTAGAAAAGTCTCTTTGAACCTCTTTGAACTATACAATCATTAGAACATAAAATAAAAAGACTAAATAGTCCATTAGAAATAATGCTACAAGGAAAAGATATAGGAAATAGGACAAGATAAACATAATGATAATAAGATTAACAGAATGCAGTGGTAGAAAGTTACTAATATAAGTACACTTACCCAAGTGCTTTACTTAAGTACAATTTTGAGGTACTTGTATTTCAATTGAGCATTTTCATGTTATGTTACATTTTTCACTTTTTTTTGTAGAAAACTAGCTACTTTCCAGGTATGGATTAATAATATAGAATTTTATATTCTAAATTATGAAGCAATAAATCATTATCTACTATTATAGGTTAAGCTATCCATAGGCTATATCTAGTCATTTAAATATTCCCCACCTTTACCAAGTGCAATATTGACTTAATACATAATAATTATAATACTAAAATGTAATATTTTGAAATCATATATGGGCAATACTGAACAATTAGTAGTTTGAGTTTTTGTACTTGAGTATATTTTGATGTCAACACTTTTGTGCTTTTACTTGAGTACAAATTTGAATGCAAGACTTTTACTTCTAACAAAGTACTTTTACGATGTAGTATTGTTACTCTTACTCAAGTACAAGATATGAGTACTTCTTCCATTTCTGGCACAGTGTAAAGATAATTAGGCTTCCTAAGAGTCTGTAAATAGGTATTCATATTTAAAACCACGCTGTCGCATGCACTATGCCGTTTAAGGAAAGGGTTCCTTATTAGAGAACATCTTCGGAGCTGCTACATGCTGCACATCATATCCACATCCGGCTGAATTACTTTGACCTTTCCCACAATCCACCGGGGTGACAGAAGGCGCCTTTTGTAGCCCATGCATGTCAACAAGGAGGGAAGGAAGACGCTCGGCTACAATTAAAAACTAGTGTGAATATAATAACACGCTGCTTTTTAGGGACAATAGTGTGTCTTCCATTCATTAGCGTAACATCCTTGACAGCAACATGGCTCCGTTCGGCTTAATGACTGCAGGTGCTAGCTGGCTGGCTAAGTCCTTCAGTGTGTTCTCCTGCACAAGCACTCTGGCAAGGTAGCTATCCTGAAGTCACTACGGTGTTAGCTGGCATTAGCTCAAGTCGAAGCAAAGGCTTGCTAGCTTTAGCTTTCATTTTGGCTGTAAGCATGTTAAGGTCATTAAATCACTTTGGATACTTTTACTGAAATGTGTTTTGGACTTATGACTAGCATATGTTACTGTTAAATCAAAAAATACTTTATCATCTTAAGTTACTAAGTCATAACTAATGTTGTTATTGACTCAGACACTTTTGGATGTATTTTACAAGCATTTAGGGCCTTTTATGTGATTAAAAAGGAATAACAGCTAGTAAGCAACATTCATAATATATTTATTACATCGAAAGTAAAGCACGTGTGTTTAGGTGAGGGCTAGAGGAGTTTGAACTTCTGACCCCATTTTAATCCTCTTGCAGTTTAATGCTGTCTGGTGCTTTTCTAATAGAGTATCAGTCATTGCCTTTAACACAGATCACCATCAGAAACGGGTTTATTAACACATACGAGCAGTTTGCCTTGGTGTATATGTTGCATACATACATACATGCAGTTAAAGAAGATATCATTGTAAGAAAAACCACCACAAAATAAGACTATTATAACATTAAAATAGAGGAATAATTATTCAATATAATAATATATAATATGACATAATACTCAAAATAATAAAATATTTGCAGTATTTTACAAAGAGTGGAAAGCAGTGCAGATCTTAAAAGATGCAGTTTTGTAAATATTTAGCGGGTTGTGCATGACTGACAGTATTTAAATAAACAAGATATTGCTTGCATAGTTTAATTTCTTTGAGGAATTATTTAACTTAATTCAAATAAGTCTTAGAAATGTCAAGAACTAATGTAAAAAGATGTTTCATCCCTTGCTACTTCCAGAGGCCTAAGGAGACTTCTTTATGTGTCATTTACTGTAATTTAAATAAAAGTGTTTACTGTACTGTGGTATCTTACTTGGTTACTCCGGACTAGTCACCATTGAAGTACCACTAAATGGCCAGATTTGTGAATGGTGTTCCCTCTATTAAAACAAATGTGTGCTACGATATTTTCTGCATTGCATTATATTTATGTTTGTGTGTTTGGCTCATGCTGTAGGTGCTCCAGTGTCCTCTCAGCGACATATAACACTCCAGTGAAATATCTGAGCTCTCAGGCCAGCGGACCGCCAAAGAAGCCAGAAAACGGATATCTGAGATTTGTTTTACAACAGCGGCCAGACATAACCAGACACTTCCCAGGTAAATCTGCAACACTTGCTACTTTAAAAAAAAAAGGCAGCCTAAGTTATTGATTTCACAAACTAGTGGTGCTTGGCACAACAAGCAGTGTGAAGGAAGCTTCATAAAAACAAATACAAATGTTATCTCATAGCAAACGGCTGGACTTGATCAGTCTGAGAGTCTAATGATCACATTTACAATTGTTGCCTTCAGGTATCAAACCATCTGAAATCATCAGGAAGATCGCCGGGCAGTGGAGAATGCTGACTCCAGAACAGAAGAAGGTATTTCACTCATTTATTAGTTAAACAGTACAAACTGTATGCCTTTTTTTAATAGTGCCTTATCGTTTAGTTGCCAGCTTAGTCAACCTGGACATGTTGAGTACCCCCGCAAAGTTTTATGTTAGAAATGTATAGTAGGGGTAGGGCTGGGCGATTTTTTCGGTTTTAACGATTAATTTGCATTTTTACTTTCCTACGGTTTGTGAAATGGCTGAACCGAAAAATCGCGATTTAAAAACATTTCTAGACTCCGCAGATTTGTTTTGCTTTAAGGGACTCCGTAGTAGCTTACTCTCTCACTTTCCAGAACGCGCCAATATGGTCTAGCT